TGCCAAAAGATTCCCACCCCTACTGTTTATCATTCTGCCTCTGCTCTCAATCGAATCATTCAGAGCAAATTGTATTTAAAACTGACAAATCAATTTAGGGATTTTTTTTTTTTTTTACTGTTTAATGACTAGGGGTGTAAGAAAATATCCATACATTTGAGTATCGCAATATTTTGTTTTGGGATATTTTAACAATTCACAAAAGGACAGTTTTTGTGTTTAAACCTCCAACCTCCCTTGTTTTAATGTTGTAACACTTTAAGTTTACTGTTTATTTGAATTTTTGAATTAGTTATAAAAAAGGTTCTCAGAATGTACAAGTGAAATGTTATGTTATGTTAAATTGGATGCTTTAATAAAAAGACATTTGAATAAAAACCCCCAAACTCTACATATCAGTGTCTCAACAACCTGAGGGCTGTGGTGGTGGATGTTACAGGGACTGTGATAAATACAAATGTGGATCCCATTGTTCTGGTTGCATAAAAAACTGTTTAACTGGTGGTTTTTCCTAACTGATATCAGCTTGCTTACACACCCATTTCTATCACTGAGTAAACTGATATATTTTATGGATATCTCATATTATATTCAACTAATAAACTGTACAATGAATCCAAACAGTGAACACAATAACTGCAGGACGTTTGTGTAAAACAAGTGATTTGGGTGAATTTGGAGCAGATTATTTCCTGTGAGTATTGATCATTTTTAGGAACTTTCTATATAATTCTCTCTCTCTCTGTGTTAGAGTTTTTAACAAAGCATGCTTCTTTTTTGACAGATTCAGTGTTTTGTTCTCACTGTTCTCTTGCTCTTCTTTTAAAGCAGGATGAGGCTGTTTGTCAGAGTGAAGGCTGTGTGATTATAGCTCCTGTTCAGGTCTTCAAAGTTTAGATCCTAAATAAAAATCTGAACTTTGACAATACAATTTCATTTAGTTTTCTTCACAGAAATGAACGAAAGTCTGAGAGATAGACTTACCGTGTATATTTTGAATATTTTTTACATTTTGAAATGAATAGTGTTAACGTTCATTGTTTAAGGAAATGAGCTGATTTGTGACGCGCTTTTTAACATACTTTTTAATCTTTGGGCTTGGGAGAAGGTATCGAGTATTAAAAATATAAATAATATATATAAAAATAATCCCATAAATACTGTTACACTAACCCACACAGAGTGTATTCACATTACCATGGAGGGTCCATGTCCTCCTACACCGGGTCTATTACAGGTTCGGCTCAGTGACTTCACCTCACTTGAGTACTTGAGATTCAGAAAAGTCAAATGTGGAATTTACATTTTTAATCATTGAAATGATTCAAGGTCTTTTCACACATATCTCAGGGTGAGATATTCTTCGATATTCTTACCGTGTGGTCCCCCGTGTACACTTACAGAGCTGCATTAATGGGCTGTGTGTCTGAATGAAACGTTCAATCAACTGTGAGTGTGGTCCAAGTACGGATAAGTTTCTGCATGCGTTTTATTCACCGGACCAGCCGCTTGTGTCAGTCTGTGTCTGAATTCTGCGAGGACGAAATTACTGATGCGTTGTCCCAGAAAGTGCGTCCGATAGCTTCGTCCCACCGGTTTCCAACGGAAACGAGACGCCAAGGTTAACAGTAAGAAAGTGTTCCGGAAGAAAATGTTTTATGTAGTTCATTTGTAATTTGTAATGAGCATACCTTTCTTTAGCTTTGTTTTCGGTCGAGCTGCCCGTCGACGGAGCCGGCGTGCAGTGCTCTCGGTCCCAACAGCCCGCGGTCCCTCCCTCTCCTCCCCTCTGTCCTCCGCCAGCTGCCGCTCCGTACTTCCACAGTCTGCGTACAAAGCGGTGTTTTGAGACGTGGCCAGAGGCTCTGCTGGGCTGACTGGCAGTGGGCTGACTGGCAGTGGGATGGGCGGGGGGCTGGTGGTCTGAGATAGAGGAGGAGAGGGTGGGTGGGTGTAGTTGGAGCGGGCGGGACCTGAGCCAGTTCACTGTGTCCCAGCAGGAGGAGGACACAGGCACCGTGCTGTGACATAACCCGAGACTCTCTGCTACATCTGCTGAGTCATGGCTAAGTTTACAAAGTATCAACAGTTCTGGACCACAGAACATTTAGCCCACTCTCCTCAGCACAGGGTACATATGTTACTGCCACTCCAACGGGCTCAAGGTTGTTCATCTGAAGTTAGAACCTTAATATCATTGATAACAACTGTGTTTACCCTACTGTTTCATGTCAAAATGGCTGTCGTGAAAAAGGTCTATGACTTCACACTGGAAGAACTTCACCAAAGCTACCCTTGGGAGAAATAAGCTACTAAGGAGGAGGAGTTCAAACAACTTTGTAAAAGTCAAATAGATAGTGCACATGTGATACGAAATTAGAACAAAATATAATAATGATAGATAAAAAAGTTGCATGCCAGCACATACAAATTACAAACTCAAAACATTATAGTATTTCTCACAGGTGAGCTGACTCTCCTTCTGGAATACCCCGTGACCAAAACAAACCAATCCCATCTGGGCTTTTCACAAGTACAAAATTGCAAGGACTGCTACATTTTTACTATAAACATATCTGGATTTGTGTTATCTCACTACAACTGAAACATTTAATAATAATAAAAACTTGAGCTCTGAAATAAAGGGAAATGGGCTTGTTGTCTTACTTATACATATCCGTCAGTTTTGTAACATCTGACAACCAAAACAGTCTTCAATTCACATCGTTTTAGAGAGCTTAAACACTGGTTTGAACCAATGGGATTTACTTGTCAGATCAGAATCTTTTGTTTATACGACACATCAGCAGTCTTTCAAAGTTCTTGAAATAAAAAATATCTGTCTTTTCTTTTTATGGCTCAAATTGTAGTTTCTGTAGTTAACCACACACAAAAAAATAATTTAACCACTTGAATCTCTATGCAGATGAATGTAATTGAAAGAAAGTATTAGTTATGGGAAAATTAAAAATGATAATTGTAGTTAAATTATAGTTCACTACTCCTCAACACTGCAGGTATGGGTGATTAAATGAAATGTTTATGTTCTAATATTTGGGCAATGAGTAGTATAATAGTAGATAGTAGAATTATAGTATAATGTTGCACATCCCATCCCATTTTGTGATTTTTCCAGTCAAGATGCTTTATATCACTCCTCTGTAAAAGTTAACAAGAATGTGGAACTGGAATCCTTTTAAGTTTCTTTAAGAAATACAATAGTTTCTGTGCTTTCTTAACCAGGGTGGAGATGTGAGATGATCATGATAGGTTTTCTGTTATGTTGACTGCCAGGAGCACAAAACTGCTCCACTGATGTAAACGTGGGTCTCCGCTTCCTTTTTTTCCAAATTTAACAATCAGCTCCTTTGTTTGAAATTTGGCAAACTTCATAACAAAGTTGTCTCCATGTCGGGGGAGGCAGTCACGGGGGTACAGTGCGAACAGAAGGGGGTTGAGCACACAGCCCTGAGGGGCTCTGGTGTTCAGCACTAGGGTGGAAGAGGTGTGACCACCAATCTGAACCGTCTGGGGTCAGTGTGGTATTCAAGCTCAGAGTACTGAGATTGCCAACTGGTTTCATTGGGGGGTGATAGAGTTGAATGCTGAGCTGAAATCAACAAACAGTATTGTGGGCTAATGTCTGAGATGTTGCTTTGGAGGCAACATGGTTAAACAATCTGCTGATCATAGTATCCCATGGGTGCTTCTGCTTGTTACTGCAGTGAGAACTCCATCACCTCCACCATCAGAGCAGGTAGAGGATGAAGAGGAGGGACTCTTTGTTATCGTGGGTGTCAGGCCAGATAGCAGAGAGAGAGCGGCTTCTGCTGAGGTCGTAAACAACCACATACACACACCTCAGACCCATGTTACAACTGGTTGTGCTGGTAGTTCACACCTGCAACTTCTATAGGGTGTGAATCACCCAGTGATCATGCTACATGGAATGTTAATTAGTGGCAAATAGTTTATAAACATTTTGACTAACTGGTAAAAGGGGTTGCATTTGAGAAATAAGCAAAAATGCACACATGCAGGCTCAGTAGCAAGGTTATTATAGTTAACTA